GACCAAAAAAGTAAGTTGCTAAGAATAAGATGCAGGGAGGGTAGAGAGTATCAGAGCTTCAAGATAGATGAAATGTCAAGTGATTTATGGTATGGTTTACTAAATGCGAATTTACGAAGGGATGTTCGAACGCTAGCTAAGAGACAGGATCTACAAATTGCACTAACGACAGATGCAGGTCTCAACATCGATAAGAATTGATAAGAATAAGAAAACCTACTTTTTTATCAATTAGAAAAAGGAAAATTCTATAGCAGGCAAGCAAGCAAGCAAGCAATCCACGTTGACAACAATCTTAATCGGTTATTTGAATGCTACGCCTGATACTGCTACTAACCATGGCTTCAAACAGCTAGGCCTCCAAGTACGAAACAGTGGATGTTTACGGCCCGTCTCAGACCTTAACAGTACCTTACGCCTCCATATATTTAGTAGGCAAGCCCCTTACCATTGATTCGTGATGAAGATAGAATGGCCGCGTCGCTGCTGTTACAGTTACTAATCAATGACCACGATTACTATTAACTGAGTTTTTAAGATTCTAAGCTACAAAATATTTTGTCCTACTTTTACCGGCGTTGGAATGAGAGGCCTCTTGTCTGATACCGATTGCGTTTGATATTTTCATTTAATTAAAATAGTTGATAATATTCATTATCGAAAAGTGACGCACACGTCACCATAAAAGTTTTCCATTACCCGAAAAGACGTTTCCCAAGAGTCCGGTTGCCGAAGGCAACAATTGAGGTTCACTTCTCTATTTCCAGCCAGTATTAATCTACCAGACTACTGCTATTCGAGCAGCAGATTCGTGTGGCTGGCACCCAGTTCTAATAAAATTGTAACTTAGGAAAGTTCCTTGGGAGAGTTCGATGACGCTGGCGGTGCAAGATTCGCGAGGAAGCAGGGAAATTATATATGTGCATCGCATGAAGTAACCAGGTTGTTGTTTACTGGATCTCTCCTTTTACTGGCTTAGGGGCACGAAAAAATCGAAACGACGCCCCTGTTACAGCGCTCGTTCGAACGAATATGTAGGTTTTGCGTAAGATCCGGTGACAAAGTACGTACATCATAGCATTGATAATTCCTTCGTAAAAAGAAAAATCTGCCATCTGTCGCAACATACCTTTCGTTTACCTTGTGTCGACAGCGCTTCATGGCCTATTATTATATCTAGCAAGAGCCCGTAGCAGGTTGACCAGCGGACGCGTCAAAAAAACAGAAATTCTTCAGCATGTCTAAAAGACTTTTCTCGATATGCCATGGGCCTTCTAATAGTTAGGCGACCCTGCTTTTCGTCAACGACTCCATCGACGTACATAGCTCAATCCGTTGATTTCCGCCAGGTAGATTTTCCCTTTGGAATAATACATATGTATTGCAATTTGTATGAGGTTTACTATTGAGCCCAGCCATTTCCCGTTATTCTCCAGACGTCAGTGATACTAGAGCACACGCCATGCTTAATGTAAGCTGCTTTGTCAACTCAACGCCCTCATCCGATTGCACGGTCTAAAGAGACGACTAGATTGCGTTGCGTGCCCCATGCACGTAGTAGATCGGCTATTTGGGTTCGAACCTTAAGAAGCAGCCCTACGCAATAAGCGTTACTTTGTTCCTTTTTCGAAATTATTCGACGACGCAATTCAACTCCCATAGAATAATATATCAAAGTATGGTTTAGTTTACAATTTATACCTGTATGACCATACCACACGCTAATGATAATACATTTATAACTCAATAATATTTATTCTCATATTTCCAGTAATAGTACTATTAACTGGCCAAGTAGCTGAGGTATCAGTCGGTCCGAACGATACATGCTTGACAATTTTATACGTCTTAAGCTGGAACTGATGCTAAAAACCTATAATTCCAACAAGTTTTGTCAGCTTATTTTCGTTGTCGAAGCGTTGGCTTAAAGTTATCATAATAAGAATATGTCAAATATTCTCTTGAACTTCAACAATATCGGCAAAGCATAATTCAAATTAACCTTGACCGGACTCCGCTACCGAGTACAAATTTTATCATGAATTGTTCTTATATATATTCTAAGGTTAAAGTGCTGTCTGCCCATTATCACCGAAGCGGGCCTGGCTAACCGCGTTACGCAATGTACCGTTGGCTGCATAACAGAGTAATTCCTTCGCTTTGTATAGTAGCTGCCGCAATTGTTATAAGACGAATTTCTGTGTTCGTACAAATTGAATAGTGAATGTTGTTGTCAGATGTTGTCTGTCTGTGACTAGCTTGGATAGCCGCAGAAGCTTATCATCAGAATGTTGAATGCTGGTGTCGTTCTGGTAACTTGACTCACTTGAAGCTACGCCATAGTTAGTTCGTATCGTAAAAAACCTGTGACACTGGAATCTGCTGTTTCCCATATTTCATCTTCGTACGACATTGGCGTTAATGACAAACAGGAAACAGATTCTCTAAAAGCCTTCTGATTTCGCGTCTAGCAAGTTATTTTTCGTTAATTTCTTTTCGTGTGCAAGACCTCTGCGTAAAAGCGTTTGTAAAGAAGGTTTGAATTGGCAACGTTTTCTAGGTATCTCAAGATAAAAAATCTCTGTGTTTTTTTTTTTCCATTGTTTCAACTCCACTATTGCTATATCAAAGTATATGGGAGAAAGTCACTGGGCCCCTACATATAGATAGATATATATTCTTTATTTCATGCAAGTCGTACTATTCTTGTTAAATACAAGGTGTCTATCACACTATACAGTAAAAAAAATAAATCCTGTTTGCGGTTGATTGTATATTTATTCAATTTGGTGATCTCATACTCAAATATATCAATGTTTATAGCATTTAGAGCCGTACCATTTAGTGAAATTACAATGTTGCCTAGCTTATCCGATTGTGATTGAACGACTTAAACCACTAAATGGATCATATTAATTATAATAAATCTACAAAGATTTTTTGATCTCGGCATATGCTGCAAACGACCCCACTATTGAAGTTTTCGCAAAAAAAAAAAAAGAAACATGCCCCGAGGCAGTTCTTTACTCTCTCTCTCTCTCTCTCTCTCTCTCTCTTTATTCTCTTTGCCAAGTTAGACCCCCCGATGATGTGGTATATTTTCGCCCTGCGTAGAATCCAACGCAGATCAACAATAACTATTTCGAAAATTAATGCTTGTTCAATCGGCGATAAATAATAACATATCTCCGTAGGTGAACTGTCAAGACAAAAACAATCACAAAAATTAGCTGCTTTTTATTTAGATAGGCCCTTACATTTAAAGCTTTTATTTTACATTTACATTTAAACTTCGCTGATTGTAATCAAACGTCCTATTCCAGCGACTTCTACACCCGCACACGCAACCTGATTGAAATGTGTCTTGATATATTCCTTATTTTACATGCTACAGCCACACATTTAATCATGCCTTATAATTCACCATAGCCAATTATTTCGTTTGTCTGTACTGAAATCTAACTGTTTTCGAAAGCAAGCCAACTTGTTCGTACCCGTAAATTAAGTTGATTGATATTGGCAAAGTACTTCTTCGATTATCGCTTTCAAAGAAACCGGCGATAAAGGTTTCAGTGGCCTAGTCACGGCGCCTGACGTCACTTGTTTTTTCACAGGCTGTATAACTAGAAAATGCTAACTTTTCTGTAGACTAAATGACTCCAGTGACGCTTTGATACAACACAAATGAACCAGCGAAAAATAAGAAAAATCTGTTCCATCGTTACCAGTTTATGCTACCCTAGCAATAATTCGAGCTTAGCCCGTTTCCCAATCGAGCGCAAAGGCAGATTCCGGTAATCTGTAGGCACCTAAAAGGATCTGGACCTCTGTTTCTCCCGCGTGCACCGACTGTCCACGAAACGATTACAGGGACATTTAGCTGGAAAGCCCGGGGCGTAACGGGCAGTAGGGTTCAGTAAGTCTATTTATAAGTAAATATCTTCGTGCTGCTGCTGCTTCTTCTTCTTTTTTCTCAAAACTGTAGTTTCCCCGAAACTGGACTAGTCTATGGCATGGAGAAAGGGATTCCCGGAGAAATCGCTAAAATTTTGGTATACACTCCGCCAATTGACTGTTTCAGTCAAAGCACGAAGGGACCGTAACTGGGAAAATCGGCACATTCGACCAATCCAAAACCTTATTTGATTTTGCATGCGTTCCGGGTCATGTCTGTTCGGCATCGCCTTTATTCGAACATATAAAGTTCACCTCACGCCCTGTCATCGCCAGTGGTCTATGTCCGTCGAGAACTAGTTAGGCATGCTTCCTCTAGGAATCCGTTGCCTGCCTGTATATTACCTGCCGTTAAATGAGGGTGGTGCATAAATCTGTTGTTCAAACGCACATATAGATTTACTTTATAAGCACGTTTCTTTTTTGCTACCGCAGCAAAAATAACAGCACGAAGCCTCATGCAGTGCAGCGGGTATCTGACAAAAAATAAGCTGGCTTATTTTACAAAACACATCAGTAAGATGATACGCCATCAAATCGAGTAGATAAATCTTCAAGTATCAAATAGAGTCAGGCTAAGAGATAGACAAGTTGAACCAACCATTATCAATGTAACGGTGAGTTTAGCCGTTATCGTCAATATCGATAATGGTTGTTAATGAATTTTGTTCGTCCTCATGCCGTCTCCGCCGTGGCGGCAACGGCCGTAGACACATTAACAGTAGCGGTTGATAGCATGGTCCTTCATTGGATCGCCCGATACCCAGCCAAGCAGGCAGGCAGGCAGGCATGAAGGCCGACAGTCAGTCCAGTAGCCCTATTCTAAGAATCCTTCTTGCCCTCCTCCAACCTCTCGCCCAAACGTCAGCAGCGCGATTATCTGCTGTCGAGTCCCGCATGCTCTGTTTCACTGCTGCGCCGTCGACGACGCCCTCTCCGTACCGAGCTTTTGCCCTCTCCAGTGCCAAAGCACGCCGGCACAAAAGCACGTGTCAGACAATTCAGTCGCTTAGTCGGCATCGTTGAGCTGAACGGGTATTCAGTTCGAAATTAAGCTTTGCAACGCTAATGTGTAACATACACACATATACACTGCGACATGGAACAGTATCGTGCGCCCGAGAGCACCTCCTTGTTACCGCGTTAATCCTGTCAACTAAAACTTTCATTCACTCTCTTGAGCCTTTGGCGCGGTATCACCCTCTCATTTACGTGGCATTAAGATTACCGAACTGAGCCGATTTCGATTGGCTGGATCGAAACTGACTCCCCCAAAGGCCTACATGAGAGACAGAAACAATCCGTGCCAGCATCTAGTCTCCTCCTGTCAAGTAACTACGATAAACTGCCGTTGGCAGGCATCGTTCATGTAAGTGCATACGGCTCGTTAACGGCTACCGCTTAATCGAACTACTACTTCTCGTCTATGTGATGCTATCATCCGCAATACAAATCCGTTGAAAGAAGAGATTTGTGGCTGTTTACAGTTGATTCGCGTGCCGCGTGTGTGTGTGTTTGTGTGTGTGTGTGTGTCTGTGCGTGTGTGTGTAAATTCAAAGCGGACTACCACATTTTTACCGATTGTTATTACAGCCACTTTTACTATTGGAAACACAGCAGCATTGGGGCAAGATTATCTTTCTGTGAACGAACATCAAAGGAATAGGATCAGCTTATGTCCTGTTCGCTCTTGGTGAGCTGCTGCTGCTGCTGTTGTTGTTGTTGTTGTTGTTGTTTATATTGTTATTGTTGTTGTTATTGTTGTCGATTCGGTGGAGTTTAAATGTTAGCGACAGTTGTTAACATCCAGCAACAGCCTCGTCCCGGTTGCTTTCGAACAGCACCCAGTGGCTGATAAAAAGAGCCAAAAGTTTCCCGAGAGACCGACGAAGTTGTGTTAACTAGGGAAGTGTAGAAACAAGTGATACAGACAACTTATGAACTACTTACAACCACTGCTAGTTCTAGAGGAGACATCTCTAGCTTTGTTATCATCGTTGTTCCAACGGTTATCGCCGATAACCTAATTCTTGAAAATCCCATCAGCACCTTCTGCCTTCCTCGGAGGCCGTTCGTATACAAGCGCCCACCATCGTGCATGTGATCCTTTAATCTACATATTTGCTGGCTGTCGCGTGCGAATCTGCCGCCGGTGTCTGCTAAGTAATGCCCTGTTCGCAGGCCTCTTCTGATCAGCACCTGTTGTTGTGTTTGCCCTGTTTGACCAGTCCTGTTGTAAAGTGAGCAGTTGACACATGTGTGGGAGGTGCAGGATAGCACTGCCGAAGCGACCTCTACCCACGCATCCCACGTTCATGTCCGCGACAAATTCGAAATCAGCACTTCGGGAGGTTGTGTCCTGCCCGCTCGCAGCCTGTTCGCTGTGGTCGTTGCACCTCCGGCTAATCGTCACCGTTCTTTTAACACTAGCCGGTAGTATGGCAGATGCCGCTGCAACAAGACTCGTCGGAGTCAACTCTATTAATTCGAGCTTGGGAGTGGGGCCAATGTCGCCAGCATTGCTACACCGGCTGGCCTGGTTACCAGCCATGACAGCGGTAACAGGCTCGGAAGCGGGGCAAACGGAAGAAACACATTCGCGAAGTTCAGCTTCTATGCTACAAAGCACTTCGAAATTGAGAGCGTCTGGTGACGCTAGTGCAGTGCCTGTAATACAGCAGGCGGTAATGGAGCAGCAGAAACATCAGCCGCAGCAGCAGCGATTGCAGCGTTCACGTAACGATACGACCGCTTATGAACTGCCCGATTCAGTCCTACTAGACTATGTGAAAGTGCAGATGCTGCGCGGCCTCGGGCTGTACGAAGCGCCGAGGGTGCGACGGGCCGCCCGTGACAGCGAATACCATCGCGTATACGAAGAGTATCGTAGGAGACTCGAAGAAGATGACCTTTTGGATGAAAGCGAAAATGAGGACAAGGATAGCCAGCAGGGCTCGGCAGCCGCTCTGCAGAGGCTCTACACAATACGCGCCACGGGTAAGTTTCCCCACGTTACAGCTGAGAAAAGCCCTAATCACAACGACATCTCATAAAACTTATGTCGGCCGCACCTTCACATGTTTATATGCATCGATACGTAGTTAATAAGCAACATTAATATAAAGGGCAGTGATGACTATGCTGGAGCCTTGTATCCTCCAGTATCACCGTTAGGCATTCCATCGGACGGTAGCGTTGTGTCCTAGTGAAGAACAAGGATTCCTAATAAAACCTAGTTTCCCAATTAATTAGAGAACTAGTTAAAACAAACAAATATATCCCGTTTTTATTAATTAGGTCGATCTAATGACAGTCGTAGTGGAATGTACTCTTTCTATAGACGCAATAGAGAACAAAGGTTGAAAAAAATGCCTAGCAATTAGGTCTTCGGCCTCCCAAGAAAGTGTGTTCATTGATACATAGAGTTGGCTGGTTGTCGAACGCACGGGGTGTAAACCAGCAGGGCTTGCCAGAGACCGGCGACCCCTGACCCCCTGATATAAGCATACCTCCTCGGCCAGGTAATCGACAATCGCAGCTACCTTACTTTCTCCTTAACCATTCATTGATACTCGTGGAACCTTCCACAAGAAATCTGTCATGCCTCGGCAGTCATCAAGGAGGGTCTGTGAAGGACAGAATCAACTCTGCGTGTGTGCAAAAATCATACCCAGGACACGGTAAATAAGCGAGATGTGCTGGTGTAACAGTGCGGAGCTGTACGTGTTTCGGCAAAGTGCGATAGTCGCTAATGTTTTCTTTCATAAGTTTTTACGTTGTGAAGCACCACTGCTTCGAACGATTGTGCATTTTGGCAATCCGGATCAAATCGGAGCGTTCTAATTCAATAACGTCTTTTTTTTGCGAAGGTATTAGTTTTTCTTGACGACACAGGAACTTCTATGTCACCAAAAGTCGCAATACGACCAAATACTATACCATGCTTAGCGTAATTCTTGTTAGCTTGACATTGGGTCGTATGCCAGGAAGGACTTCTCATGCTATTTAATGCGTACAAATAAATCATCTCCGTTATCCAAGTAATCAAGTCTAGATAATTTCTAGATCTGCTCGATCCAAGACTAAATTGATTTTTTTCCCCGCAATTGTTTCTGCGAGTACCTTTTACTGAGCTATGTTTTTAACATATATATTCTGTTGTAGGACGTTCCGTTCAATGAGCAGCTAACTCTCTGCTCTGTTTTATGTGGACCTTTTTTCTTCGCTGTTTTTGTTCTCCGATAAATTTTTTCCTGAAAAAAAAACAGGTCGGCCGCCATCTTGACCGACGTCGCTGTTCTCACCGTAACGTTGAAGCTGTCGCGGGCGACGGCAGCGGCTGCAGGTGCAGCAGCAGCGATAATCTTCGTGGTGGTTTACTACGCTCGTAACTATGCTACGACCGCAGGGTGTTAATAGCGGCTCTGGCTGTTACAGTTGTACCTGCTCGATGACACAGCACCGAGGCGTGCCGACATACATTCGTTTGACTCGATGCACAACGGACTCGACTCAGGATGCTGTAGGGATGGCATGTCGCAGGCGCTATCTGCCGTAGCTACAGCCGCAGCACGGGTTCAGAACGTGCGCGCTCTTTCCCTCTCGCTCCCCGATCTCGCACGATGTTGCCCCTCCAAGCTGATACGGTGGCAGTAGCGTTCGAAGGCCAGTCGTTATTCGACTGCTGGTATATTTTCGGCGTGTCTTTGTGCACTTCTGTTCCTGTCTGTTCTACCACTTGCTTTTTCGACGAGTTGGCAGTGTCCCGTCAGTGTGAAGGTACGGGCCGCTATAACTGCTCCCTGCTCAGTTGCGGGAGCGGATAGAGATCGGGCGACGCAAAAAATTGAGCTGCCACCGCGCGCCGCGGCTGCGTCGGCGGCAGCCACGACATCTACGCTTGATGCAACGGACAGTACCGTTGCCACGGTCAATGCTTTCATTATTGGACGCTCTTGCTGGCGCTGTTTCTTTGGAAGGAAATAGATTTCGAACATTTGCGCGCACTCTTGCTAGACGTCACTAAAGAAGATAAAATCTGATTGCTATTGTACTACTGCAATGGGGATTTTTATTCCTCATAGTATTGTTGCTGTGAGCTCCTTAGTGTTATCGTAGACAACGCTGCTCCTATCAATAGTTAACATATGTTAATTATAGACATCGTGGGGACCTCTGAACTGTCAACGATTAGAGACATACATATTCTTACCCACATCGCTACGTACTACGTACGGCAGATTAGTGGAGGCGCCGGCGCTGATTAGAGAGCGTTGTTGTGAGGTTCATTCTCCTCCGTTCTGCATGCCTTTATATGCAAGCGTTCGACGGTCTCTATTGAGTGTCATCAGAAAAAAACGCAAGTGAAATGATCTGGCTGCGGACACGCAAAGTGCTTACAAAGCAGGCGGATAGAAGGCGAGAACGACGATAAAAAAGCACTCGAAGGACCGGAAGACAATGGAGAAAAGCAATAATGACTAGGATAGTGTGATCCTGCGAAAACTGAAGAACTACGATGACTAAGCAGAGACTCCAGTCTACGCTGTTGAGAGCCCGGGGTGGCAAAGTAGACTCAGTTATCACTCCTCTAAGATTAGAGCGGACAGGAACAGCTCTAACCGTGAGGGGTGTACGTGATTGATATATACGAAAGACCAGCACATCCACTTTGATCGAATATCGAATGATAACGATAAGAACACCAAATCGATAAACACACATGGGCGGTGACACATTGATCACTCTCACAAACTGTTGTTATTGCAGAGTCTTAAACAGAATAAGTAGACAGCAAAGTTTCTGTGAATTAAATGGCGAAAACGGCTGAGATCACTTCCATTACGGCTGCTAACGGTGAGAGCAAATATGGTTTAGATTAGCCGTTCGGTCCGATGGTGTTTGGGCTGATACGAGCTTCAGCTGTACACGAATCAACGCAGGCGTTGCTGACCGGTAACGTTAAAAAGCGAAAGAATAGTGCACCACGAAAACACAGAGGCTGACGACTTCGCCGATAAAAGTAACATGATTGTCAAGACTATGATGGCATTAAATTATCAGATATTATGCCGTGCCTACCCGCTGGGATGGGATCAGATGCAGGTGTCAATCGCCCTTCCAATGTAGCTTTGTTATATACCAGTGGCAATAATTCCCTGTTATAGCTTTCTCATAACGTAAAGCATAAATACACCCATTCAGAGGCACGGAGGCCGGCCCACGCTTAAGGCTATCTAGAGTTGATGGCTTATCAATAGCCTATCGTCGTCTATATCTGAGCAGTGTTTCGTAGCATTTGCGAAAAATAGCCTTTAGAAAGGCGTATCAAGGCATAGCAAACCTCTATGCCGATTTCAGCCATCTGCTACTACTCTACGGCTGATGTTATTCGAGAGATACCTCTTATCATCACTAGCTGATGGAACGTCAAACTAGAAAATACGTTAATCATAGATTACCCAGCCACCTTCGATACGTCATTTGCTAACGCCAAAAAAGCGAAATTGGCGTTCTAGGAAAGGGCGCACGGTACGCAAATCATTGAGAAAATTAAAAACACTCGCTAGTCGATCATTGGCTATCCTTATCTCGGTCGAGACCGCATAAAAAAATCACTAAAATTGCTGAAGTCAACAACAACAACAACAATGATGAAGATAAATATAACATCTCAATAGTCTATAGAATGTTGTCGACCACCGAATCAGAGTCAAGTGCTCTTCGTTAACCGTCCAAGCAGTTGTTTTTTTTACCAGTTTTAACTAACCCCCCAGCCACGACGTATAGAACGAAAGTTAGACTGTGAATTTTATATTTAAAATGGTCATAGATCGGAATCAAACAGCTATTCGACATGACTTGATGAGCCCTGTCGTAACAAATGTCAAATCCTATATATATTCATGGCTTGCTATCATTAAGGACTTCCTGTACGTTTCATAATTGAAACCACTTTTAAAAGCTTTTTTCATATAAGTCAATTGTTTTCAAATTGCAAGATCGGACTAGAGTCGATTGCGCGTCTTTCTCTTGCCGACAAGTTCGCCTTCTTCCTGTGTCATACCGAGATACGTTAGAACAATTCGATGAACCAAGTCTACTAGTAAGTTAGAGTGGTAATAATAGTTAAACTTTTTTTTTTTAATCCGTTTCAAACTTTCGCATCGATATTAAGTTTTGTACTGGCGTTTTTTATGGACGCGCAGTGGGCCTCTGAAAACAAACATACGCGACGCAACACTAAGAATCTGTTCTCTTTTTCACGTGGAAAAAGGACCATCTGTCCTTTCGTTGTATCCGTATCCGTATCCGTATCGACTATGAGCATTTCTCAAATTCTCTTGCTCGCTTTCCTCTGTATCCTACTTTTCCTCGGTGAAGACTCATACGGTTTACAGCACTGGCAGACGCGTATCAGACCGATGCGTTGAGGTATCTCTGTGACCGTGCGAGTGAGTCGGATGCGTGCGGGCTCCTATTCTCGAGTCAGAACGGTTGCGGATTATCGATCGAACTGAAGTTGTTCTACTTCTACTCGGCAACACGGTCATAGTTTAATTACCCATCCACCCCGGCGTTCGTTTAGCGGACCAACGCAGCCCAACAGAAGACGACAACTTAGCCTCATTCGGCCGTACGAAAGCTGCGCGTCCAGACCGATACGAGTATGGGACCTGGTTAATAATAATAAGTCTACGTCGGACGCCTACGCGCGACATAGGCACAAGCGTCAGCGCGGACAGGTTTGCTGGTGACTTGAGCGTTCGTTGATTTGCATCGTCTATCTTAATATATACGATATTTTTGCCAGCCTGCTATCCTCAATGGCGCGCAACGCACCTAGGCAGGCTAGATTACTGTTAAGTCCTTTGACACCTCTGCTATTATTATTACTATTATATCGATGACAAAGCGTGGAGCCGTAGTGGCCAGTAAATGTTGTGTGTCAATGGGTGTCTTTAAAACAGAACCTTTTTGGATGCGTCATACTGTTA